TCACAGCTCACAGCAACCTCCAATCCTGGGCTTAGGCAATTCTCTTGCCTGAGCCTCCAGAGTAGCTGGGACCACAGGCACCCGCCACAACACTTGGACAATTTTTGTTGCAAGTTCGAACCTCAGTTCGAACCTGCCACCTTTGGTATATGGGACCAGAGCCCTATCCACTGAGCCACAGGTGCCACCCAAGGTTGATGAACATTCTGACAAACGATTCCTATTTATAATTGTGCTGCGTCAGCTGTGTTTATGTTTCATCCATGGCTGTGTTAGGCATTTGATTTGTAATTTCTGGTTTCAATATTTACTTTTTTATGGTAGTGATTTGTTATTAATTAACACAAGGAAATTGACTATACTTACACATGTTTCTTGATTTACTATTTTTTCTTATTTTGCAGAATAGGCAAATCACCCTTTTTATAATAGCTATGTGTGTTTTGTGGTAAGCTAGTAGAATTTTGGTTAGATGAATATTTAGTGGGGTTTGGTGTTTCTTTTTTTCTCAGAAAAAGAAATCTAAGATGTTTCAGCATTCCTGTTTAAATAAATATATCAAGAGAAAAATAAACTTCTTCTTGACCCCGCCTACCCTGTTTATGGAGGTAACCCAGGGTAACAGTTCCTTTTGTGACTTCTGTCATTTAGTCACATACCCACATGTTGTATATCCATTTAATTTTAACCCATGTACAGTCACACTGAAACATAGTGTCTTTGTATCCAACATCTAGTCTCCACTTACTATATCTCAGGTATCTTTGACTTGTAAGTAAAGCTATATTCAACTATATTTAAATTTCTCCCTCCATACTGTTATAATATTCCACAGCACAAATGTTCTGGAATTTATTTACCTATTCTACCACATATATTTACTCATAAAACAAATAATGTAGCATTAGTACTAATTATTATATTATACACTCACTACATCTACATTATTTTGTTATTCCTATTACAATGTTGTGTTGTATATTTTCAAAGTTTAACTTGGCACATTTGTTCAAGTTTATCTGTAGGACAGGTTACAAACAGTGGAACGGCTAGGTCAAGGTGAATAAATATTTCTATTTTGATGTTGCCAAACTGCCTTATCAAAAAGTTACACAAATATTTGATACTACCAACAATTCAGCAATACGTCACATAATAAAACATAAATGACTATATCAGTATCATTGGTTTAAAAAGGTAATGTTTTAATTTCATTTTTTAAAATCATCAGTGAAATTAGTGTTTTCCCATTTTTTTATTGGCCAGTGGCCTTTTTTCTGAGTACTAACTTCAAATTTGCTTTATAGATTTAGAGTTTGACATAGGACTTATAAAACTCTTCCCTACTCCATGAATACATAAAAATGGTCTTTATCATAGCATTTTTATTACTTTATTTTTAAATCATATGCATATTGGTTAGGGGAAGAAGACAAGGACCCAGCATTCTGTTGGATTAAGCAAAAAGCACATCCTTCAACAACGTCCCTGCCTGGAGGCTCATTTGTGAATGCTCCGTCGTGGTCACTGACCCGCAGCCCCTCTCCAGCACAGGTCTCTGGGGATTACTTTGGCTTTCTAGGGTTTGAAAACCTAGCTGGAGCTCATTTTACAGTCCTTCATAAAACTGTAATAATTGATAGATCCAGGCAGTGCTGTGGCTCAAAGGAGTAGGGCGCCAGCCCCATATGCCAGAGGGGGCGGGTTCAAACCCAGCCCCAGCCAAAAACTGCAAAAAAAAAAAAATCTGTTTATGAAATCTGACACAAACATCTTACAAAAAATTTGCCCAAGAAATAATTCACTGAATTCAAAGATGAAGATGAATAATGACCCCCTGCAAAAAAAGCAAATGTCATGGATGAACGATCTACAGAAAAATGGAAAAATGTCATCACAGAGATTTTTGAGTCTCTCTCTCTCTCTCTCATATCTATCTATCTACCTATCTCTATATATTTATAGATGTATGTATTATGGTGATACTTAAAAAAATGAAAACAGCTAAGAAAGGGATTTAATAAACTCAGAAATGAGACAAGGGAAAGAAAAAAAATGGGCTGAAAGAACTCAGGATAGATGTGAAACAAAAGAACAAAAGTGGGCAGTGCCTGTGACTCAGTGAGTAGGGGGCCGGCCACATATACCAAGGGTGGCGGGTTCAAAACCAGCCCCCGCCAAACTGCAACAAAAAATAGCCAGGCGTTGTGGTGGGCGCCTATAGTCCCAGCTACTCAGGAGGCTGTGGCAAGAGAATCGCCTAAGCCCAGGAGTTGAAGGTTGCTATGAGCTGTGACACCACAGCACTCTATCAAGGTCAATAAAGTGAGACTCGGTCTCTGAAAAAAAAAAGTATCAGCAGTGGAAGTCACACTGGAGCAGGCAGAAGAGAGCTGAGGCTTACAAGAAGAAAGAGAACTGATGAGAAACAGGAACAAAATTAAATTAAAAACTAAGACATCAGGATTTAAAAGATAAGAGAGAAAATTATAAATAGAAAATTCAGACAAGAAAACTAGGACAGAAAATACATATATTCAAAGGTAAACTTAAGGAACCCTCCCTGAAATAAAGACTGATCTGTAATTTTTAAAGGGCATACAGCATCCTAGGAGATGCTAATGGGAGACCTTACTGGAATTTACAGATGAGGAAAGATTTCTGAGTAGCCAGATGGTAAGATGAAGTCACTTACGCAAAGAGAAATAAACTAGGGTGCACTTGGCTTTAGTCTGCTCTAAAGCAACGTTAATCCCCCAGAGGCGATGAGGGAATGTTGAAAGAATAATCAGTGAAAGACAGTGGGACCCACAAGTGTCCAGTGAAACTCTCATTCAAATACAAAGACAAAAACAAATTTTCAAACATATTTTAAATCTGATGGAATGAACCTTCCCTGGGGAAAAAATTGCAGAGGGTACGTTTCAGTCTACAGAGAAACACTTCATTTAGAGAAACCATGTGGACCTGAAGATAATTAGAAACAAATATAAAATAATTTATTAAATGTTGCAGCTTGTAAAATATCTAGATTTACCTATTCTGAGAATTCTGTGGTACATTATTGGTTGAGGAAGCCCTGTGAACCCAAGATTTCATCTTCTAATGGGGAGTCAAAACATTTCTGAAAAATACAGCTGGTTCTCCCTATCCACAAAGTCACCCAACTACAGACCAAAAATATTCAGTAAAAAAAAAATAATAATAAAATAACATGCAACAATAAAAATAATACAAATTTTAAAATACAGTGTGACAAATATTGACATGGCATTTGTATTGTATTAGGTGTTACAGGTAATCTAGAGATGGTTTAAAGCACACGGGAGCGTGTGGGTGGGACGTATGCAAATGCTACACCATTTCACAGAAAAGACTCCAACACCCAACACCGAAGCTTGGTATCCGCTGGAATCCGCTGGGGTCCAGGGACCTACTTACAGTAATTAAAAGGCATGTGATTTGACAATACACCACAAGAGGGTGCTCCTATGTTATTTATAAATTTAAAGTTAGCATATGATATGACATATTTATTAGTTTAGCTTCCAGGAGGACATGGACAAAGAGATAATTGAAGAAAACTTAACATGTTTTTACCGACTGTGGATTGTTTTTCATGGAGTGGATTAATGAGGGTATAAACGATTAGGTTACACTGCGTTTGTTAGGTAAACCCCATGCTGTACCTGAGCACTTCACCCAGGGAATGTGTGGTGTACCCCTAACTGTGCCCAGTAGGCCAGAGCTCACCACCATGGAATG